CATAATCTATTCTATCTACTCATCTATCTATCTATCTATCTATCTATCCTATTTATGCCTATCTATCTATCTACTATTCTATCTATCTATCTATCTTAGTCTATCTAATTCTAATCTCTCTAATCTAGTTCTTCATATCTACATCTACTCTACTCATCTATCTATCTATCTATCCCTCTCTCTCTCTCTCTCCCTCTCTCCTCTTACGATGACACTCACAAAGAGTTGCTGCCGCTAGTTCGTGCTAATTGCATAGCATATAGATGTTCAGCATTGAACTAAAATAGAGCAGCAGACGGTTGTTAACTTCTGCTTGCAATCACTCCCGTGTAACAATTTTGTACACATACATGTACACTCGAATAGCCGTGTTGGCATTGCGAGTTGTTTTGCGAGTGACCAAGCGTGGCAACAGAACTCTAATTAGTTCTTGATTAATTGTTGATTTTGTGCAACCGTTGTATATCGTTTAAAAGATCGGTAATTAAAATCGTGCATAACGCACTAGCACTCTTGTTCAATGATTTTAATTACAGCATTACTACTATATATGAGCACATGTCTTTACGGAATCGAGATAATTGCCCTCATTGTTTCAATAGAAACTCATAAACATCGTCATCCAACAATCTTTTTGGATAATTCCGATATTTATTGTTAAAGACTCTGTTAAAAAGCTGTGAAAAGTGACGAAGATTTTATACGTGTTTGGCTTTTCTGTGACTGTTTTAGTTACCGAATGGAATGTATGGACATGTCGATGGGAGTTTACATCGATATATGTAATTTATTTATTTATTTGCACGTAATAATTCCTATTCTAACTGAATTTACGTTTTTACATTGTTATAGCAACCCGGTCAGCAATAAAATCACAAGAAATTTTTTAATTGGTTAATTTTAACTTAGTAAATTGGAAAGAGCCACCATTACGCAAACTTACTTTAGCATTTTCAATCATTGCGATTGTGTTTTTTGGCACTTTGCGCGCGCCATATATAGCAGCGCTGAAACTATTTCTGACATGGGGAGGATTCGATAGCGAGAATGACTTCCACCGTCAGCTAGACGGGCACGACGTCGTTTATCCAAATCAGCCTATCTCGTCATACACGGACGTTCCTGCGCGTCTAAGCAATGC